TGTGCCGAAATGGGTGTGCGGGACGCATGCGGACGGCAGCCTGGGGCCTTCGGTGGAGCTCCCTGTGGGGCCACGAAACGTGTGAGGGGTGTGCCGAAATGGGTGTGCGGGACGCATGCGGACGGCAGCCATGGGGCCTTCGGTGGAGCTCCCTATGGGGCCACGAAACGTGTGAGGGGTGTGCCGAAATGGGTGTGCGGGACGCATGCGGACGGCAGCACTGGGGCCTTCGGTGGAGCTCCCTGTGGGGCCACGAAACGTGTGAGGGGTGTGCCGAAATGGGTGTGCGGGACGCATGCGGACGGCAGCCATGGGGCCTTCGGTGGAGCTCCCTATGGGGCCACGAAACGTGTGAGGGGTGTGCCGAAATGGGTGTAGGGGACGCATGCGGGCGGCAGCCCTCGGGCCTTCGGTGGAGCTCCCTATGGGGCCACGAAACGTGTGAGGGGTGTGCCGAAGTGGGTGATGACGATGACGATGACGACGATGACAATGACGATGATGATGATGATGATGATGATGATGATGATGATGATGATGATGATGATGATGATGATGATGACGATGACGATGATGATGATGATGATGATGATGATGATGATGATGATGATGATGATGATGATGATGATGATGATGATGGGAGGAGGGGGAGGAGGAGAGGAGGAGGAGGAGGAGGTGGGACGCGGGGCGCTGTCTCTTCAAAACGAGGACCCAACACCACAGGATGGTTGGGAAAAACACCACCACTACCACTGCCACCACCACGCCACCACCACCACCGCCACAACCACTACCAGCAGCACAACCCACCGCCACCACCACGAACCACCACGCCACCACCACCGCCGCCACAGCCACCACCACAACAAATGCCCACAAACCACCGCCACCACCACCACCCACCACCACCACGACCACTACTACCACCACCAACCACCACCACCGCAACCCACCATCACCACCACCACCACCACCAAAACCCACCAGCACTACCACCACCACCAATCTACCACGCCACCACCACCACCGCCACAACCACCAACGCTACCAGCAGCACAACCCACCACCACCACCACCACAAACCACCACACCACCACCACCACCACCACCGCCACCGCCACCGCCACCGCATCCACAAAGCGCCGCCACAACCACAACCCACCACCACCACCGCAACCACAAACCACCACCACGCCAAACCACCACCACCACCACCGCCGCTACCACCACCACAACCCACCACCACCACCACAAACCACCATCACACCACCACCAAACCACCGCCACCACCACCACCACCACCCACCGCCACAACCACTACCACCACCACGAACTATCATCACACCACCACCACCATTACCGCAAACACCACCACCGCTACCACAACCACCGCAACCCACCACCACCATTGCCACCGCCGTCCTCGTCGACGCCCCCCGCCGCCGGCGCCCGCCGCCGCAGGCGCCAGCCAGCGCGGGCCCAAATGGAAATCGTCGCCCCCGCCGCCGTCGCCAGCCGCCGCCGACGCACGCGCCGGCCCGAGGAGAGGGGAAGCAGGGGGGGGGGGAGGGAAGGGGTCTGACCCCCCCCCCTCCACGGGAGGGGGGGGGGTCGAATCCCGCTCCCCATCGCTCCGTCACCAGAGAGGGGAGGGGGGGTTCGGGCCGCCTCCCCCATTCAGGGGGGGGGGGGGAGTTCGGTTCCAAATCCCCCCTCCTCCAAGCGACCGCAGACGCGCTCTTTCTGACTTGGGGTGGGCTCAGCGCAGCGCGAATCTGCGTTCCGCTCGTGCTCTCTGCGTCGACTGTTCCGTTGGCGGCATCGATCGCGAGGGCAGAGTGGCCGCTGGCCCCCGTCGCGCGGTTGACCTGTTCGCACGTGCGATTATAAGCAGCTGCGCGTAGCAGTGTCCCGCGCGCAGCCGCAGACGCCTTCGCGCCGCCGCTGCCAATGGCAACGCTCGCGCGTGCCCGCCTCGCGTGCCGCGGCGCTGCACGCGCGCGGAGAATCGCGCCCCCCTCGACGGCGACGGGGGGGGGGCCCGTCGCGCCCGGGGGGTTCGATGGCCGCCCTCCGCCCGCGATGTCCGGATCGCCGAGCCGCGCTGAAGTGGTCGCGCACGCGCGGCGCCCGTTTCCCGAGGGCCCCCTCTGCGCAGTTGCTCTGTCCCGCTGGGAATGCCCGGAGGCGGTGCCGATCGGGCGGCGCAGTCGGCGCGGTGCGGCGCTGCTCTGGAAGCCCCCCACGGCGCTCCTGATGCGCGCGCGTGAGTTCCTCGAGCCTCGGCGCGCCCGCTCTCGCGCGCCCCCCCTTCCCACGGCGCGCGGCCTCTCGGCCCGTCGTCGCGCTGCTGCCAGCGTCGCGCTGCCGCCCGCTCGCCCCCCGCTGCGCGCCGCCCGCCCGCCGCGTTTTTCTAGGGGTTGTTCTCTTCCCTCCCGGCCAAGAGTAGCGTCGTGAGCACCAACTTCCTCGCCGTCGCTCTCCTCGGCCGCCGCGGCTCGTCGTCCGTCGAATCGCCCGCCGAGGGCCGTGGGGCCTTCGAAATGGAGACATGAGACGAGAAAGGGGCCGGGTCATCTCCGCTGGGGCCCCCCAAGCAGGCCGCGCTCGTCGCTCGCGCGCTTTGCGGCAGCGTCGCAGCATCGCCCTCTCATCCTCTGCAGCCACGATGCCTCGTGGGCCAGCGTCACAAGGTAGCGGGGTGACCGCGATGCCCATGTCACCGGCGACGGCGAGGTCGATCTCCCCGGCCCCTAGCCATCGAGCGATGGGCGCCCCAGCTCCTGCGCCCAAAATTCGTTCAGCCAATCGGTTTCGGGCGTTGGGTGGCAGTGCTGCCCGGGCCCTCGACGGCTGTGTTGGCGCTGGGTCCTGGGCGCATCTCGGCTAGATTGCGCATCTCGCGCGCCTGTCAGATGAGCTCGACCATCTTCGCCAGGCGCTCTCTTCCAACTATCTCTCGCCTGCTTGAACGTAGCTGTGACTGCTTTGAGCTCGCCTTTTGTTCTGTCGTATTCTGTTGGATCGCAATCGTCACTGAGCCGCGCTCGCATGGCCCTTCCTTGCCGTAGTAATGATAGTCGGTGCTCGCGCGCCTTCTGAACAAGGGGTCGAGTTCGCTGGGGTCGTCTTTCTTACTTACCGACAGTGCTGCGTGCCCCCCGTCGCCATCCCCCCAGGAAATCCCGCGGACTGTCTGGCGTCGGCTCCTCCAGTGCTGCTTCCCATGCCGCCTCCCCCGCATTGGTTTCGCGGTCGATGGCCTCGAGAGGCCGCGCCGTCTTGTGCAGTCTCCTACCGCGCTCCATGAGCCCGTCCCTGCACAGCCCCTGTAGTCCGTTTGCGGCTGCGGGAGCGGAGGAGCGAGGGTGGCGAAGGAAGGGGGCGAGGCCTACTGGAACATATTCACGGCCACCGGGGGTTTATTATCTTCTGTGATCGTTTTCCCGCGCCGTTCAGCGTAACGCATTGATAGGCCATGCCTAGGAATCCCGTCGGCACGGCAAAATGGTTCACCACACTGGTGTGCCCTGAATGTCCGTAGTGCTTAGGGCAAATGGGGTGGTGGGTCGAAACTATGCAGAAGTCACTGCCTGCACGCATTTTCCAAAAGGTTTCCCCGTCGGAATTTCAACCTTCGGCGGTGTTGTTGTTCTTACGGTGGGGCGCTTGCTACAAGTCACCCCATCCATCCGGTTTCGTTTTACATTCGAAGTCGCTATTCATGTCCTGCCCGACCGCAATCGAAGTCATGCACCCTAGCCGGTCGAACCCCGAACCGTATGCTGATGGCCTCTGCTAGTGAAAGATTATTCACATGGGTGGGGGCAACATAACATACGAACAGCGCATCGTCGCAGGTCGGACCCGTGAGCCTCAGCCCTGCCAGTCATCATCAGCATCGCCACCACCAACACCATCATCATCATCATCATCATCATCATCATCATCATCATCATCATCATCATCATCATCATAATCATCATCATCATCATCATCATCATCATCATCGTCGTCATCATAATCAGAATCATAATCATCATTATCATCAATATCATCATCATCATCAGCATCATCATCATCAGCATCATCGTCATCATCATCATCATCGTCATCGTCATCGTCATCGTCATCGTCATCGTCGTCATCGTCGTCATCGTCATCATCATCACCACCATCATCATCATCATCAGCATCAGCATCAGCATCAGCATCAGCATCAGCATCAGCATCAACATCATCATCATCATCATCATCATCATCATCATCATCATCATCATCATCATCATCATCATCATCCGGAGCGCCCCGGATCGGCGGCACTGGCCGGAGGCCATTTCAATAACATACGAACAGCGCATCGTCGCAGGTCGGACCCATGAGCCTCAGCCCTGCCAGTCTGCGGTGTAAGTATCATGGAGGGGTGTGGATGCCCCGAAGTACTGTACTACTGTCTAGACGGTGGTTCAGTAGCACGGCGAGTCCGCAGGCTTTGCTCGACAGCTTCACTTGTTTGTCCCGAAATGCAGTACGTCATGATACGGGATCCTGTTTCAGTGGTGTGGCTCTGGCCCCGCCCATCTGCACGTGCCACAGAAGAGGAGAACGTCCCTCCTACGGAGCTCACACCTGATGTCCTCAAGACGTTCTCGTGTGCCCACCTCCAAAAATTGTAAAAACGTATGTGCATGGTCACGGGAAATATAGACATACGAAAACCACGGCTGCTCCCCAGTCCACCTCTGCCCCTCGGGTCTACTGGTGGGGGCGCGAAGTCGTTGGTGTAGACTTACACGTGACGCACGGTCGGGCTATGCTCGTAACCTCAACCAGCGGCCTGGGGAAAAGGAGGAAGAAGAGGAGGAGGAGGAGGAGGAGGAGGAAGAGGAGGAGAAGGGGGAGGAGGAGGAGGAGGAGGAGGAGAAGGAGGAGGACAAGGAGGAAGAGAGATGAGGAGAAAAAAGGGATGATCATCACATATTTTTTCCGGCCCCCCCCGCCTCCGTCTGCCGGCGGCGGCCGCGGCCGCGGCGCCGGAGCGCGGCGCCTCTTGGGTCCGTGTAGGGGGTGGCGTGGTCGCGGGCTGCGGCGAGGCAGGCTTTCGACCGAAGCGCCCAGACCGCCCTACTGAAAACTGACATGTCCGGTGACGCGACGAGGAACACTTAGCAAAAAGGGACGGAAGAGGGAGGGGGAAAGGGAGAGAGAGAGGGAGAGATGGGAAGAGAGGAGGGGAGGGAGGAGGGGACCCCGAAATCCTTCATTGATCTCCTCTTTCCAAGTTCATGGATCATCGGTCCGCCTCTAGCATCCTCCTCATATTCCTCCTCTTCCTCCTTCTCATTAACATTGGCTCAAGCCATTTTGGCTCAAGTCCTGATCACACCGCGGGAGGTGCCAGGACATAGGGTTGCCTCCTCGGTCAGGGCCGAGGAGCTGGGGCCCAAGCCTTGCATTTCTGTGCGCTGACCAGCAGCGCCGCTCCAGGACAGCTGCCAATCCTGGAGCTGCCCCGTCCCCCGCAGTCATGGGCGGCACACGGCAACAGAGCCGCGGCCGTGGTGGCGATAGTCGCAAGTACATCTGCTGCAAGACTGGAGGGTGCAAGGGGTGGACATGGGCTGACAAGCCGTTCAAGTTCTGCGGGCAGTGTGGGTCAGCCTTCCTTGGTCGACGGTCTACAACCTCGACCCAAGCCCAGGACGAACCGAAAGGCATTCAGAACAGGTGGCGAAGGCGCACAGTCAGCCCAGCGCCGAAGAGCCATCCCCGAGCCGCGGGAGTGCGAGTCCCTGAGGAATCCGAACGCGACCAAGTTGCTGCGTGTACGGCGGCGGTCCAGTTCTGGAAAAAAATGGAAGGCATCTCAGGGCCTCACTACCTGCAGGCCGTCAGTGAGTTGAAAGCAGTCAAGGCGTCGTCGTTGGCAGCGAAACCTTGGGATCAGCAGCGGAAGTCCCTGCACGATCAGCTCGAGGTGACGAGGAAGAAGCTCGCCAACGCCAAGCAAGAGTGTGATAAATCAGTGGAGGCCATGGTGACATTGGCCAACGAGTATGAGAAGCAGGTCAAGCACGTCTCTGATCTGACTGCAGAGGTGCAGCAGTTGGAGACCCAGCGCCAGAGGGCGGTCCAGCAGGCGCTCAAGGAGCACGTGCCCGAGACCCCCACGCTGGAGTCGTACATTACCAGCCAGTTCCCGCCAGGGCTCACGCCCTCCCCCGAGGTGCAGATGGCGGTCGCGCAGCTCTCCGCCAAGCTGCACGAGGAGTGGACCAATGCCCAGGCGAACGCCCTGTCGCAGCAGTCCCAGGCCCCAGCCTCGCAGGGCAACGAAGCGCCCGCGGAGGCCGCTCCAGGGGGGGCCGCCGCCGCAGCGCCCCCCGCAACCCTAGCCGCCGCGGCTCCTGCTCAGCCGCCTGCGACCTCGGGTGGGGCGGCCCCTGCAGGCGGGGGCCCCAGCGCGGCTGCCGACGCGGCCTTCGACGCGGAGCAGTCGGCCATGGAGGAGGAGGTGGAGCACCGGCGCCTCGCGGGCATCAAGCGCGCGGGGGAGGCGCTCGACCAGGTGCTCAACCTGCAAGGCCAGAACGTTTCGCAGACGCAGGAGCAGCAGGGCCAGGTCGCCGAGCTCCAGAAGGCTGCCAAGACCCTGTGCGTCGCCGCCAAGGGCAACGGCGGCAAGGGGCCAGACGGCAAGTCGTGTGGGTAACACGGTCAGATTTGCCACGATCAACGGGAGCTGCTGGAGATCCATCAGGAAATTCATCCCGTCTTCAGCAGCTCAGGCAGTAGACGCTATATGCTGCCAAGAAGTGCGAGTTTTGAATGACGCGCTCCCCTTCATTGTGCAGTGGTGTGAGCGCCAGGGGTGGCATGCGATACTCTCCCCAGCCGTGCTTAGTGATAGAGGGTCCCTGTGCAAGGCGCAGGGATTTTGATTCGCGATGGGCACGACTTCGGAGTATCCAGAGCGCGGCTTCCTGCTGGGGTAGCAGAGTCGCGCTGCACAGCAATTTCACTTGAACTTCCTGGACATCGTCCGTTCGTTCTCGTCTCTATCTACTTGGCCGACGGGGTGGGCCTCAACAAGTATAACTTAGAACTTCTAGCAGGGGTTGCAATGATTCAAGACGCTGTCCGACAGCCACTCATCATTGCTGGGGATTTCAACGTTTCGACCAATAAGCTCATCGAGTCGAACTGCCCTTTGCGTGCGGGCCTCAAGATCTTGGCCCCTAACACTCCGACGTGTAAGATGAAGAAGTCTGCTAGCACTATCGACTTCGCGTTAGCCTCGTCGTGCTTCGACCAGGACCTTTCGGGAGCCACCGCCCTCGACGATTACCCGCTGAGCCCCCGCAGGCCCGTCCTGTTCCAGCTTAGGTGTGGTCAGCCCTTCATGGTGCCCGTCCTGGAGAAGCCCCAACCCTTCTCGACTACTAGGCCCTATGGGCCAGCGAAATCCGTGCCGTCTTGGGATAAGACCTCGGCTGCCCTGGCCTTCCTGGACCAGGTCATCGCCCAGGAGAGTGACATAGAGGCCCGCATGCTGGCCCTGAGCTCCGCGTACCAGCATTTCGCTAACGACATGGCTAGGTCGATCAGCATCCGCACGGATACGCCGATCAAGTCGCCCACCATGCCGCGCGTAGGCCTGCCCAAGATTCGTTGGGTACCAGGTGCCGCTCGGGAGGTGGAACCAAGGGCCAGTTGGAGGAGCGTGTCGACCCCGATAAGAGGGTTGAAAAACAAAGTTATGGATTTCATCCGAAGGTTTCATTCCAGGGACGAGTTCTACCGTTCGGAGATTTTGGTCAGCATCCAGTCACCACCTCCAGAGTTAGAAGGCACCGAGGAGTTTGCCCGTCTGCTCGCCAGTGTTAGGACAGCTCTAGGCGCCGCTGCTCAGGATCAGGACAACGGGGTGATGGACCCCGAGCTCGTTTTGAAGGTTTTCGAAGAGCTCGATGAAGCAGTTGATCGAGCGCTGCAAGCTGAGGAGGCCAAGGATCGCCAACGTGAAACCACCTCGTGGCATAACTGGGTCCAGGAGGCCATGTCTCGCGGGGTGGGGTGGGCACACAGGTGGACCTCTAAGCTCACCAGTTGGCAACCTCAGAGAGTCTGGCGCCCAGAGCTTCAGACATTTTCAGGCCGTCCTTTCGAGCTGCTCCAATCGGAGGCTTCCCGCTTGGCAGGACGCTGGCAGACCGCGGAGCAGGAGCCGGATTTTAACTTGCCCTCCGCCATGCGTGACTGCCTGGAGCCGATCACGCCTGGTCAGATTCGGTCGGCAGCCAAAAGGTTTCCCAAATCAGCCAGCCAGACATGGGATGGATTTCGCCCTCGTCATTTTGCCTATCTGAGTAACCAGGAGTTTGAGCATGTTTGTAAGCTTTTGGCTGCCATAGAAGAGATTGGAGTTTTCCCGACAGCGATTCGTAGCATTATCATCACCCTCATCGAGAAACACAAGGCCGACCAGTCTGAGGGCCCCTCGTACCGTGGCATTGGTTTGCTTCCCGCGCTTTGGAGAGTTCGGTCCAAAATCCGCCAAGTTGAAGCTCGCCGTTGGGAGGGGGCCAACAAGAGGCCCTATCTGGCGCATCAGTCTGGCCGAGGGGTGCTCGAAACGGTTTATGTTCAGGCCTTGAAGGCCGAACTAGCTGGCTATCAGGCTGTACATACTGGTGGTGTCCTTTGGGATTTATCTAACTACTAGGAGAACGTGAACCGCAAGAAGTGGAAGTCTCGGGCCATATCGTCTGGGTTTTCGGAGGCGCTAACATGTGTTAGGATGAACCAATATGGGGGCCCGAGGGTTGTAGCTACAAGGACCTTGGCAATGTACGCTGGTTGTGCCACAAAAGGTTTTCCTGCTGGATGCTCTTTCGCCACCTACAACGTGCAAATGTACACGGTCCCCCCCATGGATTCCTGGGTTCCGAAGTTCCCCTCCGTGGACCCCTCCATCTTTATAGACGATTTCATGTTGGGCAGCAGCAACATAGTATCAGACTTCTGGTGTCGGACTTGGCACAGGCCGCCGACAGCATGCTAGATTTAATCGAGGAGGACCTCGATTGCTCGGTCGCGCTGCACAAGGCGGCGGTGTCGGGCTCGTCCGCAGATGTGCAGCAGCGCTTGGCAAAGGCTCTAGGCAAATACAGTGGACCCGATGGAGTCCACCAAGCTCAGTCTGCGCCAAACCTAGGAGTTTATTTCACCATGGGGAACCGTCTTAGGAAGAAGAATCGTGCGACCCTCAAGAAGCGAACGACCAAGATGAAACGACGTCTCCACCGCTTGGCGCAGATTAGGCGTGCAGGTGCGAACATGCGTAAGGTTTATCAGACGGGGTTGAAAGCGGCAGCATACTATGGAGCAGAGGTTGATGGCTTAACCAAGCCCGAGGTGCACGAGGCCCAGTCCCTGTACCTCAAGATTGTGGGCCCCCGCTGTGCTACTAGGTCCAGGTCTCTGGCTCTCTCGATCCTGGGTGACCCGACTTGGAGTGCGGCTCTGGGGCCGGCGGTTTATTGGGCAAATCTGATTTGGAGAGTTGCTCAGTATCCTGGCACCGTAAGTTTCTCGCTTCCTGGTCTTCGAGCCCAAGACCTCGAGGTGCTCAATGAGCCTCCCAAGAAGTGGTGCCAAATCCGAGGGCCCCTTGGGGCCACGCTTCTCAGTCTTGAGCGTCTGGGATGGTCAATGCCCGACCCGTTCGTTTTCCAGAACTCGGACGGCCAGGATTTCCCCCTCTTCACGACCTCTCCCGCTCTAATTAAGAAGATGTTTCAGAACCAATGGCAGCAGCAGTTTGATCTTCGTGCGAGTAAGAAGCTCGGCCTAGACGAGCAGCTCGACGCCTCGGTCATGCAGCGCACGCTGCAGGACCAGTCCATCCAAGGCCACAAGCGCAAGACGCTGCTCTCTTTCGGCTGCCAGTGTATTTGGACCAAAGATAAAATGACGTCTGCAGGGTATGATGGCGAAGTCGTGTGCGACCTATGCCAGGGCCCCGTGGGCTCCATCCCCCACAGA